CTGAAGCTGGAGGAATGTCCTGATGTCTTCAGTCCTACTGTCCTTCTCTTCCCATCCAGAGGTATCATCACAGTTCATGGTGGTGAGCAAGTCAACACGTGTGAACGTTCAGGGAGACATATTTAGTCATAGGGGTGGCACACACTGGCCCAGCAGACATCCTCTGTCTACCGAAAAGGTGCAGCCTGAAGGAATTGGGGTCTTAGTGCAGAACCGTCACCAACTGTCTGCTGGCACAAGTTAAACGACTCATGTTAAATAATTTATTGGGAAGAGCTGAGTGTCTTTGTCCTTAGCAGCAAACTACTGGGGTACAAGGCACGGTTTTCCGATTCTGTTCTGCCTAAAGTATCTGGCTGGATTTTCTACATCTCATGCTCATGAAATTCAGAGGAAGAACTTTGCAGGGTTTTTGGAAAATATGCTTGTTGTAAAAATTGTTACTCACAGATTCAGTTGGTGATACCTACTTGTTTTTCAAACACATGACCTGGTACCAGCAGCGCTCAACTATGTGTTTTGCAAGATCTTGAAATAAAGACAGGTGATCTTTATTTTTAAATTTCTTTTAAAAAGCCTTTTAGATGTAGGCCTCTTTCAGATTTTTTGTCTCAAATGGTGATGAAATATTTAGAATAGTCAAGAACTTAGGAAACAAACTATTTTTATTCAACTCACTGAAAAGAAAATTCTAGTTAGCAAATGCCACATTATCTCATTTGTTATTTTCACATTTCTTCTGTCAGTAAAAAAACGATAAAGCTTTTTAAGAGCTTCAACAGCAGATTCTCCCATTTAGGTGTTTCACATCACCGTATTAGCAGATTTTCCCAACACTGAATCCTCTGACCTTAAGGAACTGTCTCCATACTTGGGGAGAGAAACTGGTACACCATCATTCCATGTTGCTCCTCACAAGAACATCTACACTGGCACGAAATGGATTCACCTTGGAGAGCTTTGACTGAAATCCCTCCAAAACACCAAGGGTGTGCAAGAGCACGCAAGTTATAATACTTCACTGCTATCGTAAGTGGAAACTTAAATAAGGCCAAAGCCTTCTCAAACTGTGTTGACATTAAATAAATGGCATCCATTCAGAATGAAAATCACATTATTAAAATGGAAAAGAATATTTGATATTCACATATATGTCAGCCGCATCAGGCGTATTACTTCCACCCTCAATATTTTTCCTCCGAAAGACATTAACTAGAAACAGTTGAAACCACATCATGCATTTTCAAGCTTGAAAGATCTAGAAGTTTTTGGATGCAAAAAGTGAAGTCACACTGCAACAACTGTGGTAATGAAGTGTATTCCTCTACAGATGCGTGTCTCTCCAACAAATAGATCACTCTGAGTGATCAGTGTTTGTCTGGATTGTGCCTCTACTAGAGTTTAACATAAGGACTACGATATCCAGTTACTCCAGAAAGCAAGAAGGAAGATCTAGCTTGAGATACTCTCTCAAACATCCTGAAATACCCGGATGGCAGAGGCTGGAATACAGCAGTGAACCATAGAATGGTTTGCATTGGAAGGGACCTTTAGAGGTCACTTAGTCCAACCACCCCATTACAATACAGAGAATACAGCTGGAATAAAGTGAGAATCCCACTGTGGGTGACTGAACAGCATCCTCACAGAACGGCAGCAACAAGCCGCATGGCCTTCAGCAGCCGAACAGCTGGAAAATCACCTTCCAGAAACACCAGGCAGTAAGTCTAGAGCATACCAGCAGACAAAGCACTGGATTATTCCATGCCACTTCACCCGAAGAACTTCAGAAAGACTACTTGCCTGTAACCACTATTCAATACACACTTCATGTTTACTCACAGTGAGCGTGTTTCAATACAAGCACCGTTAGCTGAAATTATTTGCTTGAGTAGTAGTTAGAGGGGCATGCACAAATTCTCTCTGCTTATGGCCACGGAATTGGTGATGAACACTTTTAAAAAGTTCTTCCAATTCCCTAGAAATCTTCCAGGGACCTGTAGAAGGAGGAAAGGTTCTGAACACGCAGTTACAGAAGAACAGTAACCCAACTCTCTCCAAGCAATTGTCCACGAGTACATTGATGCAGTGAGTATCTCCAAACTATTCCTCACAAAAAAAACTCCATTTACCTGGAGAGCAGTCCCAAGAATCCCTAGATGAACAGACACTGAAGGACTGTTCTCCTAATGGCAGCAGCATGCTGAGAGGTGAAATAAAACAGAGCTCCAGCTAACTGTTCTGCAGCTATCAGGAATGGAGATATACCACTGGGAGGCCACCAGTTATGAAGATGGTAACAAAGGATCAACAGCTCAAATTCTGGCCCATCAAACATATAATTTAGGTTTAAATTCCTCTATGGGACAGAGCGTCTCAACAAGAGCAAAACCACATCAGACTAATTAGAAATCTTAGCATGGTGAGAGTGAGTAACACTGAAAAGCCTTCCATTGTAGCTGCATGTTAGATGGCCATAATATACACCCTAACTGAGCTAACCAAGAGCCTCGTTGTTCTCTCCCCTTCCAGCAAGCAAGTTAATAGCTCCTTAGAGAGCCTTTTTATACCTGCACACACAACTATCCAATTCCTTTGGCAACATGAGTATGCCTAAGAGAACGCTTTCTAATATTAATGTTAACCAAAATAAGTATGAGTAAGCAGGTATATTCTAATGTCAAGATATTCTACCCTCTGTAATAGCACGGTGAACTTCATGGGACATAACTGACTGCAGGTGGACGCTAGAATTTCTGCAAACACAGGCAACATCTTCAGGCTGCCCATCATATGGCACAATGGGCTCCAGAAAAAATTACCATAGCAAGGGAAAGTTAAAGTGAGCAAGAACGTTCCTATAGCTACTCACTGTTTGCAGACGACTGAGCTGAAAAACAACTGTTGAGAACATATATAGAGAAGCTTCCACAGCAGCCTGAAGTAGAGACGCTAGTTACTTATTGAGAAGCACTAAAAAGTTCTTACTAAGGAGAAGCTATTCTTATTAGCACTTCTTATACAGTCCAAGTGTTCCTGGAACCTTCCAGTCCTAAAAAGCAGCTCTG